CAGATTGGTTTAAAAGCTTCTCTGCAATATTTTATTAATTTGACCATTTCTACCAGGTTCTAGTTGCCAAGATATATTTTTAATTAGGAAAACCATAGAAATATTTTACCTTAGTTGACATTTTCTCATCAGTGTCATTTTCCACATGGTGATTCTGCTATAGTGAAACCTGTAAGAGCTGAAGTTCTACTTAACTGCCTTGGTTTTCTGGATCTCCCCAGTGTTCCACCTTTGAGAGAGTGCAGTCTGACCATGTTTTTAGCATTCATTATTAAATCAAGCTCCCAGAGACCCTGCAGGGGAGAGGAGAAATGCCCCTGTCGATTTCTAAGACTGCAATCCTTTGTTGATGTTGTTAGGTGCCATCACATTACCATCACAGAGACCCTCTATAGAACAGAATGAAACATGGTCAGGGTCAGGTCTTCTGCCATACTTACACCTGTTCTTTTGTTTGCACCCACTGATACAGTCCCTGTGTCAATCCCTTTTGTCTCAGGTCTTCCTGTTCTTCCTCTTTTCAAAGCCCCTCTGCTTTCTCTAACGTACTGTCCTCCAAGAGCTAGGCTTGGCCAAAGAACACGAGATGAAGTCTTGCCATTCTTGACTGTAAGGAGCATCTTGGATGTATTTATTCCAGACAGATATGTTTGTTTGTTTTTGACAATCCATGGTACTTTTAAAATTCCTGGTCAGCATCATAATTCAAAGGCAGGGATATTTTTAGTATTCTTTATTGAATGTTCACCTTTCATATGCATATGAGGTGACTGAAAATACCGTGGCTCAGATCAGGCACAACTTAGTCCTAAATGTAATGTCCTTGCATTTCAATACTTTAATGATGTCTTTTGCAGCAGATTTACCCAATGTAATGAGTCCCTTGACCTCTTGACTGCTGCATCCATGAGCATTGATTGTGGATTCCAAAAGGACAAAATCCTTGACAATCTACTCTCCAACTATCATGACTTTGCCTATTGGTCCAAATATGAGGATATTGGTTTTCTTTACACTGAACTGTAAACCTTACTGAAGGCTCCAATCCTTGATGTTCATCTGCAAGATCTTCAAGCCCTCCTCACCTTCAGTCAGCAAGGTTGTGTCGTCTGCATAATTCAGGTTGTTAATAAACCTTCCTATAAACCTGATGCTACATTCTTCTTCATAATTTAGCTTCTCTGATGATTTTGTGAAAATGTAATTGATTAATCATGGTGAGAGTATGCAACCCTGTCCCACACCATTCCTGATTTTAAACCATGCAGTATGTCCTTGTTCTTTTTTTCACAACTGCCTCTTGATCAAGATCTGCTTGAGCACAATGTAGTGTTCTGAAATTCCCATCCTTCTCTAGGCTACCCATAGACTTTTTTATGGTCACACAGTGGAATGCCTTAGCATAATCAATAGAACGCAAGTAATAATTTCATCTATGCCAAGAAATTAGGAAGACAGCTATTTGGCCAACTGATGCAAAGATATTCATATTTGAAGTCATTCCCCAAAATGGTGAGCCAATAAAATGCTCACATTTTAGAACAATGTCATTAATAGCACCTGCAAGTGAGTTTTTTGCTGAAAACCATCCAACAACGGTGTCAGCAGTACACTGGCAGGTAACTCCCAGAGGTTCACACAAGATTCCCAAGAGGATGGCAAACAAGGAACATCATTATTAATGTCAGATGGGTCTTGGCTGGAAACGGAATACCAGACAGATGTTTCCTTCTGTTGTATTGACTATGTGCTTAAATCTTTAGGGGAGTAGGGATCTTCCATTTTCTCCCTCAGAGTAGATGTTGCTTTAAAATTACTGACTTTGCAGTTTCGGACCCAATGTATAACCCCACTAAACTCCCAGTGCTCCTTGTGGGAGCTGAAAGGGACTCCATCCAAGTGAGTTTGTGGGTTTGAGTTATTAAACCAAAACCAAACCAACAGCCATCCAGTCATTGCTCATACATAGGGGTTCTGCACCAGGCTCAAAGCTTTGTAAATCTTTCAGGGTGCAGATAGTCTCACCTTTATCTTGTGAATCCACTAATATCCTTTAATCCATGACCCTGAGGTTAGCAGTTCCATACTACAAGGTAACTATAGAAACACCAAGGAATCAAAACAAATCATATTCACTATCATGGAGTCAATTTGCAATTAAAGAACTGAAGCTAACAGCAGACTAGAACTGCCGCTGTGGGTTGCTGCAGCTGGGAATCCTTATGGGAGCAAATCACCACATCTTTCTCCCCAAAGTTGGTTCCAACTCTTGACCTTCTGATTGCAGCCCCATGCATAGCTTATTATGCCATACTCTCTATTATGAAATAATATTTGTTTCCCTCTAACAGGTTTTTGCTCTTCACAGATGCCAGCTTTCACAGACTTAATTGTATTAGCCATGGCCAAATGTGTGTGTGGCTAAGTTCTGCCAATCCTACATTCAGAATTCTGTATCAGAATTACAAGGGTGAATCAAAACCAAGGCATATTAAATACTGCCCTTACCCCTAACCCACAAGCACATCTATACTCTCAGAGAGAATTGTAAATGGATCATAAAGAATTTTCGTGATTAAAATAGCAGTATTTGAAGGGCCAGTATATAATGATTTTGTGGGGATCCACGACTTTCTGTCATATCCTCAAATTTACACAAAGCCAGCCAGCCACCTCTGCTTTCTATTCTAAGATGTTGCAGTGCTCTGCGGTCTTGACAATCTGTTTATGATGATGAGGTCTCAGCTTTGACTTGATCTTGACATGAGTTGGCTTTTATTTGAAAATCTGCAATTGAGATGGTGAAGCTGTCACTCTCATTGACCTTTTAACAGCACAGTGACAGAGATTCATTTCCTTCTGAAAGACTTAAGTTAACCAGAGATGCCGTGGGCCCGTTGAAACCAGAGATTTGGAAGCACAAGCTAACAATCTGACAAATAGGATTAAAACATCCAATGTGAGGAAAAACATGCTTGTTAGTCCAGCAGATGACAGAAGAATATTGGCTTGGTTTACATAAGCTGCTTTTCAAAAATATAAGCAAAATCTGACAGATGATTTCTTTTTAATTTATCTCTGACTTTGTTGTTGAAGATTCCTCTTGAAATAAAACTCTGTCCGTTTCTAGAGTATACAATATTCCAAGCTAAAAAAAAAAAATTACCTTAAGTGTAATGATAATCTGATCCTACAAAAACAGAACAAACAAATATATAAGTGAGTGGTTTTAACTATATTTTCAACATTAAATACTTATTAGAAACATTATAAGAAAAAATTCCTTTGAATTGTTAAAGTGTAATAAAATATAAAAATAAAAGTATAATAAAATATAAAAAAAACAAAACCCACAGCATCCAATGCTATAGTTTCAAATAATACATGCTGTTGATCTCTTACATCATACTATGTACTTTCTACTAAATATAATGGTGAGATTTTGACTTCTTTTTTGGATACATAACCCATAAAGGCCTATTACTAGAAGAGAAAAGCATATTGATAAAGTAAAACCCTTAAAAATGAGGAATTGTCACTTAGATAGTTATGCACATATGTTAAAAAAAAAGGCTTAAAAATAACAGGTACATGAAGTTTACTAAGGACCAGGCAATATTTTGTTCTGTAATACATAAGGTAGCTTTGAATGGGCGTGACATTAAAACAAATTATTATTTCTTAATTGTTATGTTACTATCAAGGGGATTCCAATTTACAAAACCTGTGCGTGTCTAGGGAAAAACGTGCCCCATAGCACCTTCTTTTCTTTGACATAGATATATTTCATTTGTATTACAAATTAGGTGAAGGTTTACACAGAAGATCATCAGCTTTACAATCCACAATCCAAACACATTTTGTTTTTACCCATCCATTGCAATCCCTCAATAGGTCCTCATTTATCCCTCTTCCTCCTTATGGCTGATGCTTTCATTCTGCATTCTTTATGAACCCTCTGTACTTGGAATCTGAATGAGAGCTGCATGTTTTTATTTTGAATAGTTGATTATTCTGTCATGGGAGTGAGGTCAGTTCCAAACCTTAAGGGGAGAAAGACCATAATCTTAGGGATTCCATTAGTCTCTATCCAACCATTAAGCTTGGTCTCTTTTATGATTTTGAATGATTTCACTTTTTCTCTCTCAGTTTTTACATATCCTTTCATTGTGATAGCTTTCAGAGCAGTTGGTGGTCAATAGGGTTCTCAAGGTTGATTTATCTAAAGGAGAAGGATTTGCCTTTCCTTTAGGTGCTTTGTGGTGATGTCAAACCACTGCTCTGTTCTTCAGTATTACAGAGGCAGCAACTCGATTGCATCTAACAAATCATTGTTTCCTAAAGTATAGTTGACAATTTATAGAGCGGAGTACTCATGGCACATTTTTCATTTTATATATAAAAATTCACAATGAAATTCTGTATACCTCTCATATTTCATCCTCTGAAATGGTACTTATGATGTAGAGTTGGTGTCAGACTTTTCTTCTTATTCTGCAATTTTTTTCTATAATTTTTCCCTTACATGCCTGATTCATATTAATTCTTCCATTGTCATTCTACCTGATCATTATAACAAATTATTTTAATGAACATCAAAAGTCTGGCATTCTTATCAACCACTTAATAGCTCAAATTAAGTAAATGGCAAATCATCATTGCATTTGTATTCACTGTAATAATGCTATTCACACAGCATTATTTTGGCATTCATATGAATGCAGCTCTGTATTTCCATGGAAATTTATTTTTATTTTTTCCTTAATTGAGTCAATTTGAATCATTGTTCTAGATGCTTTAATTAGCAGGGCCCTGGCTCAGCATACCAAATAAATGATGCAGGTACAAATACAAGAGCAGAAGTTCCACATATTTATCAAATGTTTTCTTTTATCTGTATATATTAAGTTAGTAATAATTAAATATTAACAGATTCTATGCAAGAAAACTAAAAAAGCTTGATTTAAAATGAAATGAAGATGTTAACCCATCCCGCTGAGCTACCCTGACCTGTGTCCTGCGGCTGGGCCTGGACGGAGTCCTCCCAGGGCCCGGGTCGGACGGTTTGCCGAGTCCCTGTGTGGCCGCCCTGGACAACCCCGGGAGCGAAGCGGAGGTGTTGGCACTGCTGGCCGAGGCGGAGCGCAAGGTGAAGCATTCGCCGTCCTTCTGCTCCGGCCTCTTCGGAGGCTCATTCAAAATAGAGGAAGCCTGCGAGATCTACGCCCGAGCTGCAAACAAGTTCAGAATGGCCCAAAACTGGAGCGCTGCCGGGAACGCGTCGGCCCTGCTGCACCTGCAGCTTCAGAGCAAGCACGCCGCCGCCACCTGCTTCGTGGACGCTGCAACGCCTTCAAGAAGGCCGACCCACAAGAGGCCATTAACAGTGTCATGAGAGTCATCGGGATTAACAAGAACATGGGTGGCTTCGCGATCGCAGCCCAGCAGCACATCTCTACGAGACGGAGCTGGTGGACATCGAGACGGCCATTGCGCATTATGAGCAGTTTGCGGACTACCGCAAGGGCGAGGAGTCCAACCGCTCAACCACCAAGTGTCAGCTGAAGGTGGCAGGCGATGCAGCACAGCGGGAGCAGTACCAGAAGGCCGTGCACATCTACCAGCAGGTGGAGACCAGCACCATGGACAGGCCCCTCCTCAAGTACAGCGCCCAGAACTACTTCTTCAAGGCGGCCCTCTGCCACTTCTGCATCGACATGCTCAACACCAAACTGGCCTTCCAGAAGTCTGAGGAGCTGTTCCCTGGCTTCTCTGAGTCCCGAGAGAGCAAGCTGATGAAGAAGCTGCTAGATGCCCATGAGGAGCAGAACGTGGACAGCTACACCGAGGCGGTGAAGGAGTATAATGCCATCTCCCGGCTGGACCAGTGGCTCACCACCATGCTGCTGTGCATCCAGAAGACCATGCAGGGTGATGAGGAGGACTTGCATGAGGCCCCGCCCAGCCTGGACCTGACTCCGCCCCTGCTCCTGGGTCCCGTCCCCACCCACTTTCCAGTGAGGAGCCAGTGGGAGAAGTGAGGCGGCCGAGACCTTGGCTCTTGACCGCTGCTCTCCACCCCACCCCACGGGAGGGGTCGCCGAGGCCACGTGGGCTCAGGAGGCCAGAACTGCTGGCCAGTGGTCGCTTTCCGCCCATGTTTCATCCCTCACCCCTGCCCGTTTATTTAAGCCCCGCTGGGGTGCCCATCTGTAGCCCCCTAAACCACCCCGCCCCAAAGCCAGCTGTACAGAACCTCCCATCCAGAGCAGTTTTCTGGGGGTGCTGGCAGACCCGGGGTCAGCACCTGACCTCCCATTTCCAGACACCATGCCCCAGCCGAGTTCTGAGCACTGTAGCTGCTGCCCCGTCAGAATAGGCTCCTGACTGTGCCCAGGACCCTGCTCCCTTTAGCTCCAGCCTTTCAGGTTAGACTCATGCGGGTGCTCCAGCACCACCACCCTCATCCCCTAAGGCTTGGAGGTTCTGTCCGGGGCAGCTGCAGCTCCCCAAGCAAGAAAATAAAAGTCGACACTTTTGGAAAAAAAGTAAATACAATTTAAAAATAAAGTAAAATGAAATGAAAAGACATGGAATTTTCAATGAGCCCTTTGAATCCCCCTGACACAATAGTCAAGACTCTGTCATAAGGAGAGCTGAAATGCTGAAGCGTGCCACAACCAGGGTGAACCTTGAAAATAATATGCTAGATGAGACCTGTCCATTACAAAATGACAACTCTTCTGTAATTTTTAAATATTAAACTTTTGGAAGACACAGTGCACAGTATAATAGTGGCTACCGGGAATGAGGGGAATATGTTTTTTATAGAACTGAGGTCTCTTTAAGGGGATAGAAGCTACTACAATTGATGTTTGTACAACACAATTGATGTTTGTACAACACAATTGATGTGAATATTTTCACTAAATTGTACAAGTGAAAGATGCTGAATTGATAAATGTTGTGTTACTTGTTTTTTATATTTATCCTTCAGCTTTAATCCCATTTGCATTTTCGTCGTGATTAATGACAAAGCAAGTCTACATATAAAGTCTTCTGTTGCTATTTTCTGTTATGCTTAGAAAAGTCCCAGAATCTACTTTGTGCAGTATGCCTGCATTAGCCTGGGTTGGCTAGTGAAGCAAAACCAATAACATTGATATATGTATAAGAAAGAACTTCATATCAAGAAATAATTTTATGGGAAAATGGCATCTGCGTTAGGCTGGGTTATCTGAAAAAACAAATCCAGAGACATTCATCCATATATAAGAAAGAGTTTTATTTCAAGAATTATATATATGGCATCCCAGCCTGTTCAATTGAAGTCCATAAGTCGCTCCTCAGACTCACTGAGCTACCTGCCAGTGACGCAGAATGGTGAAGCAGCTAAATCACAAGGCAGTGTGTGCAGTCATGTGGATCCAAGGTCAGCAGAAACAAGGCAGAATGGCAGCAGTTTCAGAGTGACTGGCATAGACAGCATGCAGAAAGGTGAAGGAGCACAGGGGCAAAGGCTCCCAGGAACTATCTTACAAGAAAGCCACACCCCAAGGAGGTATCATCAGCCTGTGACCTGATTGTGACCAGATTGGATTACACCCCTACACTTTGTTGCATCTTAAAGTTGATTTAAAACCATCTAACTGCCACAGCATCCCAGCCCAGCATTCCAGTTCAATCCAAGGTCTCATGCTAGCGGCAGCCCTCTTCAGACTCATGTAGCTGTAGCCCAATGACTCAGAGAGGTGAACCAACAAGTAAGGAGATCATGGACCCGAGTATGCAGACTTGCATGATACCAAGGCCAGAAGAGCATGGCGGGGTATTTACAGCTCCCAGGGTCAGAAGCCCAATGGGGCCACTGCTGGATGCAGACACAGAACCCAAACAAGGAGAAAGAAAGGTGTGGAGAAAGAGACAGGGAAAGTTCCCAGTCTATCTCTTATAAAAGGGCCACACCTCAAGGAGGCTTCATCAGGCTACCTCCTGATTGAAAAATTGAACTCCACCCCTACATTTTCATCCAGGTAGAAGGTGACATAAAACCTAACCACGTCAATACTTTTCCATAGTCAGTGGCCTGTTATAGGTCTATCTTCTTCACCTGCGAATAAATATTATACCTCTTGATTTGTCAGCCCTGTGAGGATATTTTGAACATCACTGATGACCATGAAGATCAAGGTAGTTTTAAATAATAGACCATTGATCTTAAAGTTGATATTTCAGATGAAGTAATTTTTTCCATATTTTCATATCTAACCGAGAACTGTTAGATCAGGAACAGAAATAAGATGGCAGAAGTAATAACGAGTGATATTAGTGTAATAATGCTTTACTGTGACGACTAAAAAAAATTGGGCAAAATATTTTTTTCTAAAACAGCAATTTCAATTACTTTCTTTTGTTAAACACAAATCTAATACTATTGCTTCATTTTTAATTCTTATCAGTCAGATAAATTTCAAAAAAGGATGCACAATATACAATGTTTTCCATAACTCAACACCTACCTATATTTCATGTTTTCACTTTTTACTATTTCCTTATATTCATGATACACAACCTCATCTACAATGTTGATTATTTTGCTATTTGCACATTCCTTCTTTTTCAATTGTGAGTCTTTGTACTTGGAATTCCCTACCACTTTTTAAAAACTACTGTCCTTTCCTGACATTTTAAAACTACAGTCTTGTGGCTCAGCCTCTCTGTATTACACTCCACATCATGAATGCTAGTCTCTTCCTTTAACCTGTCTGTGAAATCTACTCAGTCTGTTCAGAAATGACATGAAAGGTGGGGCTGAAATAGAATTCTTAGCCAACATTAAGTCTGAAAGAACAAAGAAGAATATTATATTCTCTGACCTTCTGGGAGGGAGTACAACAACTTTCACTAGAAACTGGATATATCTTATTCGTTTTCAATCTAGAAAGGGTACCAGAGATGGAGGACAGACAGGGTTTTTGGACCACAAGTCTTGGAACTGAAATTGATATATGATACAAAGACCTAAGCTTGAAGATGTTATGTCAGAAATAGAATCCAGGAATGGATTTTATTAAATCAAAGCAAGGCAGTTTAGAGTGTGGAGTAGAGAACAGAAGCTGGAGTGAATCCTTAAATACAGCACAGGACATTTGAGTTGCAGAGATAGACATATTTTGGAGTGTGGGGTGGTGATTCTGTCTCTTTGTACATTTTTTTCCTGGAGAGGGAGCAAGCTGTTAAGGAAACCAAGCCAATTCAGAAGAGAAAAAATACTGATGACCTGGGAGGGGGCCAGGGTCTGTGTACTGAACTTTTGGTGTAATTCATGAGGAGGTTGCTTTGGCTCCATAACTTAAGGTTTGTAGTGTTCCTGAAGACTATTTCTCAATATTTAAAAGAAGAAGTTTATGTTTAAGTAATCATCCTAAAACAGAGTAATTTTTGTTAAAATAACTATATATGATATATAATAATGTAAAATGATGACAGAAGTGAAATATAATTATTTAATAGTTATTATGACCAAGACCTCTTGCCAACCACCATATGAAAATAATCTCATTACTTTTCTTAAAATTTCTGATTAACATTTTAAATTTAAGCAAATTGAAACTTGGAAGTAGAATGTAATATGATTATGATCTATAAGTACTGATTAAGGAAAACTTGCACGTGGATAAGGTGTATCTGTCATTCATCCAAGGAGCATTGGAAGAACTCCTTTCTTTTAACGTATTTTACCTTGGTTAACTGTGTGAGAAAATTGTGAAACTCTTCACAGAGCAAGCTAATCATTTTCTTTTTTTTTTTTTTAATCAATTTATTGGGGCTCATACAATTCGTCACAATACATAGATCAATTGTGTAAAGCACATC